TCTATAATTCATGTAAGTGAGGGTCTGATAGCCACTCAGCCCCTGTCAGGTTACAGGAGGGCTTCTGTCGGTCCGAACATGGTCCCCAGACAGAAGTCCTGACATAACACACATCAAACCCGCTTAACGGTTCAAAATGCAGGTGAGTTTCAGTCATACAGGGCCAGTTTGAGTCATTTAAAGGGGGTTTTGATCTTTATTCTGTGACATCCACCCAGCTAAAAACACAACAGAGGAGCTTATGAAACATAGACCCTCCGTCAAAGATGTCATTAGAAATACTGTGACTTAAAATATTTTACAAAAGCACTTAAAACTGGGCTATTTCATAAAAAAAAAGTTGGGCTAAATATTGAGTCAAGAATTGTCCAGTAGTGAGTCCCACAAATGTCAGACCGATTTAGGAGCTTTTTCTCCATTTTTGAATTGATGAAAACAAAAAGATGTAACATAAAAGAACTAGGAATAATCTGAAAAACGTGCTAAATGCACCAAAAAGTGCACATCAACACAACAACCGAACTGCAACTTGTAACTAGCTTGAGGTAGCAAAACGCATTTTTAACATTGATTAAAAAAAATAATAAAAGAATGAAAAACTCAAATAAAAATCTGAATCATAATATTTTTCATTAAATTTGTGATTTTGATCGTCAGTTTACTGTTTCCTTACTGAAAACAACCGTTCCTAACTCCTGCTTTTGCTAGCTGCTAGCAACCGTCCTGTTGCTAGGCACCGCTGCTAGGCTGCGCGGAATGCCGCGTTCAGGGCCTGAGATGCGGTGGGGATTTTGTAAATCCTGCGGAACTAGTGGTCCTCTCCCTCTCCGTTTTCATCCCGTGATCCCATGTTTGCAGGTGTGGAGGGGAACCATCGCCAGGATGCGGTACCGGCGCATGCGCGCGGCTCTGATCATCCTGCGGGCCTACAGACGCTATAAGGTCAAATCCTACATCCGCGAGGTCAACCGCCGCTTCAAAAACGTGCGCTCCATGAGGGACCACGGCCGGCACGTGAAGTGGCCCACGCCCCCCAAAGTCCTGCGCAAGTTTGAGGAGGCGCTCAAGAGCATCTA